ATACAGAATCAACAGAGAATGTGCTCCTCCAAGGCCTATGCTATAGAGACATGTGCACTACCCTCATCTCACAAATACTGTATAAATACCCATAGGATAAACAAGGTGCATGGCACTATTTTCAGGGGTGGGATTCTACCAGTTCAGACCAGTTCTATAGAACTGACTGTTACGATTCTGCACAGTTTGGAGAACCGGCAAATCCTGCCCCTGACTGCCCCCACCTCTCTCTGCCCACCCCTTCCCGCCCAGTCAGTCCTTATTGTGCACGTGCAATATTGCTCACTGCATTCTTCCCCGCCCACACTCCTTAAGGTATTTCCTTTTTCCCCCTCCCGATGATCAGCTGTTTTGATGATCAGCTGTGCCGGGATCTCCCTCGCTGTCCTAGTACTTTGCCCAGGAGGCTTCCCTGAGGCCCAGAAGGCAAAAGAATTGGGGGGTGGGGGTGGGGGGCTGAAAAAAAAGAAACCATGCTCACTTAGCCACGCCCACAGAACCAGTTGTTAAAAAATTTGAATCCCACCCCTGATTATTTTATACCTCCCTGCTGCTTGCAGACACTAATCCTGTTGTTACAACGTAAGTATTGCAGATTCTGCACAGCAGCAATTAAAATCTGTCAGATATGGATGACCTGTGCCTCAGACCAACCTTAATATTTAACTTCTTAGTTAAGAGTATTTACTATTGTGATACATTTCTGAGAACGAGCCATATATTAACTTTTATTTTTCCCTGTTTTTAATGTCTTTGCCCCTTTTAATAGATTTTCTAAAAGATTGGTGTGGAGTTTATGTGTTTGTGTTTAAGCTTTTTAAAATGTTTTTAACCATGTGTATTTTATATTGCTTACTGTTTTAAATTACTAATTTTTGTATCCCACTCTTCTTTTGCTAGGTATAACCATAATAAAGATTGGATTATATTTGACTACTTTTTTCTCATTTTCATATTTTCATATCGTATGCCAGTCCATAAGAGAGATAGGCACAGTAACTAAGCCACTTACTCTTCTTGCCAGTATTATATTTTATGCTCTTGGTATTATAATATTTGCTGCAGTAACAAAAGCACTCCCTTCAGACTAAACCAGAGCATGTAGTTCTCTTAGAAGTGCAGGAGAAAATATTAATAATAGTGCATCTCCACAACGTAACTTACCTTGTCTAAAAGAGTTGCTTTCTCTGATAGGAGTCCAATTATTGGGGCTTTGGATATGAAACATGAAATATCCAACTGAAAAATATAATCCTTCCTGACAAGCTACAATTAATGTAGCTCTTTCTAGAAAACTTGTGATAATTAAAACTGTATTAAAATCAGATGACATTGCAACATAAAAATTTCACTGAAAAGAAACACTGGATCGCAAACAAAGCTGTACTTTGTTTAAATATGGTATATTGTCATCTTTTAACACAAAACAGATAGCAGTGTAATCAAATTCTATAAACCTCAGTCACTTGTCAGAATAATTGTATCTCCTACCTTGTAGCTTTTTTAGAACAGCCACTTCCATCTTGAGGACTTGCTTTGGTTGCTGAGCTGACTCAACCTTCAGAGCTACATTCTCCCGAGTTAAAAGATCCATTGCTTCATAAATCTCACCAAAGCCACCACCACCAATCTTCTTCAACTAAATGGGACACAAAATCATCACAACATTTAGCAACTAGGCAGATTCCACACTTTACCAAGAAACTTATGAAAAAAAGTACAAGTAATGCAACGTTGTATGACTGTCTTGGATAACTAAAAAGGGTATTTAAAGACACAAACACAAAACCAAATAGTTGGCTTCTTAAGAATAATATGTGTAATAATAGACTTTACCAAACATGGGCTGCTAAAATCCAGGAAAGATATTAAGTGGCAGCAGATACAGAAAATTAAATAAAATTAAAAGTATATTTAATAAATCATTAACATTATTACCCCCTTGCTATCAAGGCAACATATATTAAAAGTAAAAGTAACCAGGATGCAAAAGATATAAAAATGAAATGATATTATGTGGAAGTATATAAAAATAGTTTTACCATCTTCCATAAATCATCACTTGATGGAACCACAAAACATCATAGCCCACAGCCTGTTCAAAATCCAAGTGTTCAATGCCTTTCTAAATCAAAGCAGGGATAGGACTTAGACAAGCCTCTGGCAGATCTGGATTTCAGACAGCAGGAAAAAGAAAGATGTCTCCAGGATCCCATAAGATTGGTACATGCTTATTGTGTTAGATCTTATGAGAGAGACAACCAGAAAAGCAATCCCACAAATAAATCAGTTTCCAAGTTATGTTACAGATATCAATTAGCAATCTGAATTGGTAACCAGCTCAGAAAATATAGATGTCACATGGGCATATTGACGTATGCCCATAACTGCTTGCAAAGTTGCATTCTCTATCAGATTCTGACTCTATCATCTACAGCGCACATAGGTGGCAGGTAACTAAGATACCATGAGCAGGTTCTGTCAATAGGGAAGGGTAGAAAATGACGCATTTTCTATTCAAAAGACATCCTGGCTATTGATACCACTTGCTCTTCCAAGAAAAGCCATCAGTACCAATTGCACACCTGCGTCAGAAATGCTACACAATAGAGAACTAAAAATGGAAAATCCCAGGCATACCTGATCCCAAGTCATTAATTTTTGTCAGAATTGAAATTAAATCGATTCCTCCTCACTGATTTGCTAACAGCTTCCAGACACTGAGACATCATTTCCACAATAAGTCAGATGGGGCTCCAAATATATAACTGGTAATCATCTAGTAAAGTGATGATACCTGAATCTATGTTATCAAATTAATTCCCAAGCAGTCTCATCAGATATTAAATAGAAAAGGAAAGAGCACAGATCCTTGGGGAATAAATATCAGCCTCCCCTTCCCCTCTTCTGCCCAACACTGATACCAATTTCAGAGAATTCAAAATAGTGTCTCCTTCTCCCAAAATCCTGAAGAATATCATCATTGATGGTAATGGTCATTAAGAGGTCAAGCAAGTCCAGAGAGTGGTACCATCTCTGTCCCAGTGCCACAAGTTAGTATCCACAAATAATGTTTTTCAGCATTATATCCGGGCATGAAACTTTACTGAAAAAGGCCAAGATAATCTATATCTAGTAGATCTTTGCTCAAAAGGAGGAAAATTGCTCAATATCACTGGATCTAGTAAAAATTTGTTAAGATGAAAGCACATCACCACCTTTTTCAGGCAGGGAGAATCCCATTATTCAAGGATGAAATCACTTCCACTTAGTTCCCACAAGAGGATTTTTCCCAGATGGTCTTGACTAAGTAAAAGAGGCTTGGATCTAACTGAGAGTGAGCACACTAAAAGCCTTAAAAATCCCCTCTGCTTTCTCAAGTTTTACAAGCACAAACTACTCCCAGTTAATAGATGAAAACTTGTCCTAGTAATCCCAGTCACAGTCCGCTTTAGAAGAGATCCGAGGAATTTTATTCATCAAGGGCCTCGCATAATCTTTGCAAAATACTATGCGTTAGCCTTTAGGATATAGTATTCCTCTGACCACAGAAATGACTAACTTAAACATGCTAATCAGAAACACATCAAAGAAATAGTGGAGCTCCAAGACAAAATAATTTGTATGCAAGATTCATTCTTCAAAAATAGTGAGTTTTCTTTTAAGCAGAGCAAGAGTAGCCCCTAGAGGTATTTTTGGAAAAGTTCTTTTTTGAACTTTTTTTCATTACCATCTGAATGAGATCTGAAAATAAAATCTAGGTAATACAGAGATTTTCACTCATTCAAAATTGAGGATTATATTGATTTTTTATAATTAATTATATTAATTATAAAAATCTACAAGATAGAATTTTGCAATTCTCCCAACAATCATCTTCATATTATACTAGAATGAGGATTTTTTTCTGACCTGCCTCTGTGCATAATTAACAAACATAAAAATTCAGTGAGGAAAGAGTTTTTCTTCTTTATCCAGCAATTTTTGATTAGTGCTAGATATGATAGATGGGGATTATCTGGAAAAAAAATACCTCTGCGTGATCTTACAGAGTTAACGTCTGCTTGATAACACATAATCAAATAATCAAAACCAGATTTGGGAACAAATAGATCTCTTTTCAAGTGGGGATCAGAAAAATGAATAGATTGAATAAATACTAAATTAATAAAAGTAATTTTAATTGCAAATGATCTCCCTAACCAAAGGATAGGTGTTTATTATGTTGCAGAAATGGCTCTGAAGTTCACTATTTTCTTTTTCTTTTCTTTTTTTTAATCTTTGAAAATGTTTCTATATTTTTATATTAATATTTAGGCAATTTGCTATTTTTCTAATTTTTGGAGTACTAATATGTTTTAATATGAGACTGTTTATTCCATTTCCCTTGACTTATGAAAATGTATACAGTTTTCATGGGTATTTGTTACTTTTAACTGTTTCCTATTTTAAGGTCTTAGATATGTCTCTAAGAGGATAAGGATTTCTTAAAATTAGTTTAACCTAAAGATGATTATTTTTTAATTCATATTTATTTATTAAAATGTCTATTCTTCCTGATGAGATTAATTCAGCCAAGCATGGCTCTTTCAGGAAATTTTTAACTTTTATTGCTGCCAACTTACTCCTTCAGGGAATGGATGAACACAGAAAAGGGTAAACTTCTCTGAACTGATAAGAAGTAAATAGGGAGTGTTAAAAATAGAAATAGCATAGTATAAATAGAATACTAGGATTCTTGATTTGAAAGAAAACCAAAGCTGACTGCGATCAAACATATAGTTTGATTTTTATACAAAAAAAGATATTTTAAATAATTAAATGAAAGGTGCTCAAGATTAGTTGGAATTCCGAAAGAAAAAAACTTTTAACAATTCCAGTGAGGATTTTTTTTTGGCACATTAAAATAAATCAGTGCCTATACATTTAGTGAAAATCTGAATACCAAAAGTACTCAGAGAGGCAATGAAAAGGTAGGTGATCAGAGGTGGTATTCAGTAAGTTCTGACCAGTTCTGGAGAACCGGCAAATACCACCTCTGACTGGAAATTTTACAGCATCCTGCCCCTGCCATGCCCACCAAGCTAAGCCCACAGAACCAGTAGTAAAAAATTTTGAATCCCACCACTGTAGGTGATGTTATATGCAAAGAACATGAAGTGGTAGCAATTTTGTCAGAAAAGCTAAATGCTCAGAAAGAACCAAGGATCAAGAATACTAGGAACAACAAAAGAAATTACTTCAAGTTTGTTATAATAAAAGGAAAAGATTATAAATTACAAAATTTCCCTCAAATTGAATTGAATTATAATTTCATATATATTAAACAATGTCTGCATTTTTTAAAAATGTATGCTACAATAGGTGGCAGAGATGCAATCATGGCTGAAGTTTCTTGGGACAATTTGTAGATATCACACCAAGATAGACAGCTAAACAGAGGTGGCATTCAGCTAGTTTGCACCTATTTGGCCAAACTGGTAGCAAGAATTTGGCATGGGTTGCCGAACTGGTAGCAACATCTGGCTAGCCACGCCCCCAACCCAGTCACCTGGTTTCCACTCAGAAAGAAAGAAAGAGGAAGGAAGAGAAAGAAAGAAAGAAAAGAAAAAGAAGGAGAGAGTGTGTGGTGTGTGTGCGTGAGAGAGAGTGGGGGGAGAGAGAAAAAGGAAGGGAAAGACAGAAAGAGACAAAGAAAAAGAAAGAAAAAGAAATAGGAAGAAAGGGAGAGAGATAGACAGAGAAAACTGTGCTATTATTTTTAATTGTTCCATTATTTATCATGTGTTAATATTTTACACTCTCCCTACACCTAGAGTGATTCTAATGCCTTTCTTTTGCCCAGGGCTACCACATATTTTTCAGGGTTTACATGCATTCAATGTCTATAGTCCAGAGCCTAAATACATGTGTGTTTAAAGGGACTTGGGGGTTTTCTAGTCCAAGCCCCTACCCCTAGGCAGGAAAACTGAGGATGCCAAACTCTGAGTAGAGGTCTTGGGAAAGGTGTCAGAAAAAAAAGAATAACGCTTAGAAGGGACTTTAGGGGGAACCCTATATCATTTCAGAGAAATGGCTGACCAGTCTTTTCTTTAAAACTTCCAATGATGGAGCAGCCAGAACTGGAGACAGGCAGTTCCACTGGTTAATTGTTCTCATTGTCAGGAAGTTTCTCCTTAGTTCTAGGTTGCTTCTCTCTTTGTTCAGTTTCCATCCATTGCTTCTTGTTTGCCTTCTGGTGCTTTGGAAAATACATTGCCCCCACCCCCCTTTCTTTCTGGCTGCCCCTTAAAAGCCTGTTGCCTACCACCCTCTTGGGAGAAGCATGTGAGCCATTTCCTCCTTTCAATGGTCCATGAAAGTACATCTATAGTATGTAGATAATAAAGTCAAAAAAAGGTGAACAATATTGTTACAGCACTATAGATAAGTTGAGGCTGGGTGTGACAAGGAATGACTGGGAAGGGAGGGGCCAGGTGAGGCAGCCTTTGATGTGAGTGACATTAAGTTGGCCACACCTACTAAGTCACATGACCACCAAGCCATGCTCAGTCACATGGCCACCAAGCCACACCCACCCACATGACCACCAAGCCACGCCCACCATCACATGACCACCAAGCCATACCCACCAAATAAGCCACGCCCACAGAACCGGTAGTAAAAAAAAATTGAATTTCACCACTGCAACTAAACACAAGTTCAAAGCGAATAATTCTACAGAAGAATCCATCCAGAATTAGAAAGCAAAATTTGCCATTTTAAATAAGCTTAAGATGTTTTGTACAATGTCCACAGTTTAGTTTAGTTATCTTGTGTATCTTCTTAACCTAACTTCACTGTACTGTTTACTTCTTTTTTTATTTATTGCAATTATTTATTTTTATCTGCCCAGATCAAAACATTTAATAAATATATAAATATAGTTTATATCTACCTATATGTACAAGTACACAAAATGTCTCTTATTAAACTAAGTACCTTTACACAGCAGTTCCATTCTTTGTAGCAAGTAGTAGGTGCCACACATCAAACGAAAGACCTGACTTTTTACTTTTTACTTCTAAGTATTAAGTACTACACATAAATGCAAGAGACATCAAATAAAGCATCGTGCATTGCCAATTTGGAATAAACACTGTAACTTAAAGTAGATTGAGATTTAACCCATCCTGGGCTCTCGCAGCAGCATTTAGGAGAATTGCTACATCTTACATTTATATTCATTCTTCATAGTAAATGACTAGAGTGCACTGACAAACTATATGAGAACCAAAATCTTAAATTCAGCTAAAATGTTTAGGTTTCTTAGTACTACAAAATGAAATAATTTTGAGTTATTGATTAGAAAATGCTTGTTTGGGAATATAACAGGGGAAAACAACCACAGATGTAAAATCAGTTGAGAAACATATATAGCTAGAGCAAAGTACTTACTGATAGTTGCTGAGAGAGTACTTTCGGACTAGTAGCAAAAACTGTTCTAAAAAAATAAAAATGATATTCCCTAACCATTTTTTAAAATCTCTACTGTCAGCAATGTGAGCATCAAATGCTCAGAAAGCAGTTAGAAATTGATGTGTCATCTTGTTACATGAGAAGAACTAACAGCTCCATTTATCAAAGTACTGGCAGCCTACAGTATTTCAAAGAAGGTTTGACATTTGCAGTAACTGATGTAAAAAAGAATTTTACTGTTTTGCTATGGAAACTATGCAAGTATTAAAAGGGAAAAAATATGAGCCACAGCCCATCATTATAATTTTGTACTTGGAGTCATGTCTCCAGAATTCCAGCTATGAAAATCAAGCAACATGCTGAAATGTTTCTGACAACAAATGAGAAGATTCTGTCCCTGCTGGTCTCTGCAGGTCCATCATGCCAAATACTTGTGTAGTTCATAGGACTGCTTCCAAGAAATAGGAAATATGTTAGCAAACTAAAGGGTGAGAAGAAACTATTTTATTTTGCCAATATTCTATACCATCCACCTCACTTAAATGATTATTGGAGGAAATTACATGCAACAGCCCCTAAATAGTAACAGACAAATCTAAGCTAGCTAGGTAACTTTGGACCAATCATTTTCTCTCCACCTGAGGAATAAGGCAATGGCAACCCACTTCTGAAAAAGCCTTGCCAAGAAAACTGCAGGAACTCATCCAGGTAGTCTACAAGAATCAGAGAAGATTGAACAAAAGGGAAAAAAATACAATATTACTAGTCAGAAAGCTGCTAAGGGACCATAAATGTTGGAAGAAAAAATGGTTTCTAGACCTGATATAAGACTTAGCAGGAGGGATGCCACAGAACTTCAGGAGTGAAAATGAACTTGAGTTTCCTAGATTTAAAGTTCTTATACACCCCTGAAGATACCTGGTGATCTTAGCAGTGAATGTATTTATGTCTAAATTTACCAATGTCTGAGATTGTCAAGATGAACAAATCTTGGGAAGGGAGGAGAGAAAGAAATCTTTACAGATTACCACATCCAATGCGAGTATTCCCTGCGTGTTTGCAATGGATGACAATAGTGAATATGTGATAGTATTATGGAATTCCAGTTTCAAGTTTCCCAAAAAACTTGTGGATTGCTATTGCAGAAAAGTTACACAGAAAATTTAAATACTGGCAATATACCCAAAGATAATCTTTGTGACTTTCTTTGCATGCTTCTTAAGCTAAACAAGGATTTTCCCCTTGGTTGTTGAGAAATGTGGAGATAGTGGAATTAAAAATTATAGCTTTTTCAAATATTGTTATCTCCTTAAAAAGGAAAATCCTAACTTCATAACAAATATCAATAAAGTGAGTATTCAGAATATATGTATGTATATGTATATGTATATGTATATGTATATGTATATGTATATGTATATGTAGGTCTAGGTGTGTTCGTGTCTTTTCCTGTGTAAGATTAAGAGTATCTTGGCGACATTTCGGCGAGGTCCCACTCGCCATCCTCAGGCTGGTGCTTTCGGCTTCATGCCAGTGCAAGCAGTGTGTGATCGGAGCTGCCGTCTCTCTGTAAATACTGGTGGTGGGAGCTGGTGTGCTGGGCTGGTTGGCTGCGCTGCTGCCTCTTGATTGGTTGATGGAGTTGATGTTGGTATAATGGGCTGTGTGATGGCCTTGTGAGTTTTGTTCTGGAGATATCCTGGATCTTGTGCTGTAATCTCCTGGGTCATTTGTTTTGTAGTGATCTTTTTTCCATTAGCCTCTCGTGTTTTAACGGCTTGGGTAATGGGTTGTGTGATGGGCTTGCGAGTTCTTTTGTTGTGGTATCCTGGGTCCTGCATTGTAATCTCCTGGGTCGTTTGTGTTTTGAACTCTTTTCCATTAGCCTCCTGTGTAGTAACAACAAAAGAACTCGCAAGCCCATCACACAACCCATTACCCAAGCCATTAAAACACGAGAGGCTTGGGAAAAAGATCACTACAAAACAAACGACCCAGGAGATTACAGCGGGCCCTCATACCACCCTGATGGAGTCTGTTTGAGCAGCCACACGCACATTTGTGGCCTGCTGGAGGTCATTTTGCAGGGCTCTGGCAGTGCTCCTCCTGTCCCTCCTTGCACAAAGGCGGAGGTAGTGGTCCTGATGCTGGGTTGTTGCCCTCCTACGGCCTCCTCCACATCTCCTGATGTACTGGCCTGTCTCCTGGTAGCGCCTCCATGCTCTGGACACTACGCTGACAGACACAGCAAACCTTCTTGCCACAGCTCGCATTGATGTGCCATCCTGGATGAGCTGTACTACCAGAGCCACTTGTGTGGGTTGTAGACTCCGTCTCATGCTACCACTAGAGTGAAAGCACCGCCAGCATTCAAAAGTGACCCAACCATCAGCCAGAAAGCATAGGAACTGAGAAGTGGTCTGTGGTCAACACCTGCAGAACCAATTCTTTATTGGGGATGTCTTGCTAACTGCCTCTGCTTTCCACCTGTTGTCTATTCCATTTGCACAACAGCATGTGAAAATGATTGTCAATCAGTGTTGCTACCTAAGTGGAAAGTTCGATTTCACAGAAGTGTGATTGACTTTGAGTTACATTGTGTTGTTTAAGTGTTCCCTTTATTTTTTTGAGCAGTGTATATATCCCTCAGAAAGGGGATGAGGATTTCTTAATATTCACATAGACATATAGCACTTAAACTGAACACCGTGGAAAGAGTTTTTAGTGGCAAGACTACTAAGACAAGCAATGCCAAAGAAGGACAAAGAGGAAAGAAAGGAAGATTAAAATGTGCATATATAACAGAGATTGGTAAGAAACTGCATCTTCATTAAATTGTTGTAGGAATCTACTAAGCATAATCATTTGTAATACCAGAGATGCTATATTTAGCACTTCAGCCCTCTCCTGCAAAAATACTATGCTTAATTCAATGTGACATTGGATAAATGAATACAACAAAAGCTGGTCTTGCTGACTCCCTGCCAAGTCCTTCATAGCAAGCATGAAAACCACATTAGCAGTTGACCTCTTCAGTATTCTGAAGCTACACAAATAGCAGGGAAAGAAAGCAAAGCAAATCTAGATACAATTACATTGCTACAGATGACTTGGGAAAATGACTCAGATATCTGCATCCTAAAATTGAGACATTATATTTAAATGGCATTAGCAGGGAGAGCACAGACTTATTGTACTAGTTGTTATACAGAAACATATTATTACAGTATATAGAAACAGATTAGGAATAATGTACAGAACTAAGCTGTGGCAACAGCTTTAAAACATTAATGGTTGGAGAGAAAATGATGGAATATGCTGAAATAGAGTCTTGACGAGAAGCATTCAATGGTGCAACATTTTGTTGTTGGCAAAAATAGGTAAAACAATGTTTAAAGTAATTCGACGTAGTGTAATTATCAGGCTGTGGCTATGTTTTACTGTACATAGCTACAGCCTGATAATTTACAAGCAGCTGTAAATAGATAATTATAAAAAATACAAAGAATGCCCAGATAATGGAACAGTAACCTGAAAGTAATTTCTGCACATACCCACTTTTCCCATTTTTCAATGGTGACACTATTTTGTATACTTTTTTTCTTCCATTCAACAGTGTCTGAGTCTCAGAGACTACCTGGACAAGTGCCTGCAGTTTTCTTGGCAAGGTTTTTCAGAAGTGGTGTGCCACTAACTCTTCCCTAGAGATGAGAGAAAACAACTAGATTAAGATTACCTAGCTGGCTAGCTAAGGGCAGAACTAGAATTCACCACCTCCTGGTTTCTGATGCCTTAACTACTACACTGCACTGGTTCTGTCAAACACCTGGAATACTGTATGCAGTTTTGGTCACCATATTACAAAAAAGATGTTGAGACTTTGGAAAAAGTGCAAAGAAGAGCAACTAAGATGATTAAGGAGACAAAAACACATGAAGAACAGTTGCAGGATTTGGGTTAAGCTAATTTAGTGAAAAGAAGGACTGGGGAGACATGATAGCAGTATTCCAGTATTTCAGAGGCTGCCACAATGAGGAAGAGGTCAACTTATTTTTTCAAAGCACTAGAGGGCAGAACAAGAAACAATGGATGGAAACTAATCAAGGAGAGAAGCAACCTAGAATTAAGGAGAAACTTCCTAACAGTGAGAGTAATTAACCAGCGGAACAGCTTGCCATCAGAAGTGGTGGGTGTTTTATCACTGGAGGTTTTTAAGAACAGACTGGAAGAATCACATCTGATACATGTATAATTAGCACAGGATCCCCCCAAGGCTGTGTGCTTGCTCTACTTCTCCTTATAAACCAATGACTGCATCTCAAACGATCCATCTGTTAAAATACTGGAGTTTTCAGATGATACAACAGTGATTGGTCTCATTCGAGACAACGTCGAATCCGCATACAGACAGGAGGTTGTATAGTTTGCCTCGTGGTGTAACCGGAACAATCTGGAACTGATAGTATGGGAGGGTTTTTCCTAAAGTCTACCACTATTTCTACAGTTTTGACTGTGTTCAGCTCAAAACCGTAGAAATGGTGGTAGACTTTAGGAGAAACTCTCCCATACTACCACCTTTACAATGCTAGACAACACAGTATCAACAGTAGAGACCTTCAAATTTGTAGGTTCTATCATATCACAAGACCTAAAATGGACACCTAACATCAAAAACGTCATCAAAAAAGCACAACAAAGAATGTTCTTTCTGCACCAACTCAGAAAGCTTAAACTGCCCAAGCAGCTGCTGATACAGTTCTACAGAGGAATTATTGAGTCTGTCATCTGCACCTCTATAACTGTCTGGTTTGATTCTGCAACCCAACAAGACAGACACAGACTTCAGAGAATAATTAGGACTGCAAAAAAAAACCCAATTACTACCAACCTCTTCCATTGAGGATCTGTACACTGCACGAGTCAAAAAGAAGGCTGTGAAAGTATTTACAGACCCCTCACATCCCAGACATAAACTGTTTCAACTCCTTTCCTCAAAACGATGCTATAGAGCAGTGCACACCAGAACAACTAGACACAAGGACAGTTTTTCCCCGAATGCCATCACTCTGCTAAACAAATAATTCCCTCAACACTGTCCAACTATTTACAAATCCGCACTACTATTACTATTAATCTTCTCATTTCCTTATCACCCATCCCCTCCCACTTGTGACTGTATGACTGTAACTTTGTCACTTGTATCCTTACAATTTATATTGACTGTTTCCTGGTCTGATTTGATTGCTTATTGAACCCTATGCCTATTATTAAGTATTGTACTTTATCATTTTTGATTCTTGACGAATGTATCTTTTCTTTTATGTACACTGAGAGCATCTGCACCAAGACAAATTCCTTGTGTGTCCAATCACACTTGGCCAATAAAAAATTCTATTCTATTCTTAAGTCACTTGTCTGAAATGGCATAGGGTTTCCTGCTTGAGCTGAAGTTGGACTAGAAGACCTCCAAGGTCCCTTCCACCTCTATTCTGATTGATATGGCGTACTTAATGCTACATTAAGGCTCAAGTATCCCTAGGCCACATTGACTAATGGCACCAACCCATGATGATGTGAAGATTAACTTTTTTAGAATGTTTCAGAAAGAGGAATGGCATTGGCTTTTGTACCCTAAACTACTGCCTGCTCAGCCTTAGCCTGTCTGAGTACATACTATTCAGGTGTGAGAGAATAATCAGGCAAAATAGAAAACATGTAACCGTACTACAAAGAGCTTAGCTGAATAAGTATAAAACAGCAACTTGAAATCTGTCACAAGATAGCAGGGAAAAAGTGACTGCATACCAGATGACCTCCCAGTCCTTGCTGCATACTCCAGTTCTAGGGTGGAAGGGTTAACAAAACTTATCTACTTGCACCTACTAAAGCAAATACTGCATGAGGTCCTTTTGGTGAGGACTTCATCCAGAACACATTATATAATAAGAACACCAGCCTACACTTTGTTCTCATAAAGTCTCCATTAAAAACATCAGTGAAACCAGATACCCACATCATCTACATGCATATTGTGCAGGAGTGAAAAAAAAATCATATAACATTGTTTGGTAGAACAATAACCCTGCTGAACAAAATGATTATTCAAATTGAGCAGGGCACATTACATTGAATAGGGTTTGGATTTTCAGCCCCGCCTCCTTCCCCCCACCCAAGTTTTACAAGTTTTTGATTGTTTATATAAATTTTAGTAATCCTCTAATATACTATAGCTTTCATGAGTTTCCTGCTTCAAAACAGTGGCAATCCATGCTAATGGATTTTGGTGAGGTGGAAATTCTGTGGGCTGCAAAGACAATTTCAGTGTATATGCAGCTCTCGGTCTTTGAGATTTGCTCACCTTGTATTGAAGACATTGTCTCTACCAGGGTAGCAGCTAATTCAGAGCACATTGCAAATCCTTAGATAGGATTGGCAGGCTAGAGATACAGGAAGACACTCACCACTTTCCAACGGTCCTTTACCACATAGTTAGCCGGCAAAATGTCAACCTGTTCCCCTCCTCCACTCATGTTTGGTTCGTCTTTGATAGCAGCTGCTAGGCACTGCATCTGCCAGCCAGAAAATAGTTTAGTAGCAGCTCCCAATTTAAATGAGCCATTTATCTAGAAAGAAGAGAAAATGCACACAAAAGGGGATGGGGAAACACAAAAGAGTTAATGCAGATTATAACAGGAAAAATGGGTAGCAATCGGCAGGAGCATTAAAGAAGGTGGCAAACTCACCTCAGGATCAAGCACAGCTTGCAATAAGCCTGGCTGGCTTAAACAACTGCCCTCTTTAAAAATTCTTCATCTGTCCTCATGCACAAAGGAGCAGAAGCAACCATGCTGCGAGACGTGGCACAAAATTAAAAATAGTGGACAAGGTACTGGCTTTTACCATGCAGGATTTTGAAAACTGAAAGCCAGCAACTCAGTAACTTAGTGGTAACAAGAAGGCCAGCAACAATGCAAGAGCCATACCTATCTTAATAATATGTATAATATTGCAGAATTAACCAGAGATTGATACTTCAAATAACACTTAGCTCAAGATTTGACAGATACTACACAGCTGGATTCACACACAGTACTACAGATTGTCAAGTTTAAAAAACATTATTTTCGTGAGGCAACCATGAAACACATTAACAATGTGTTTTTGTATTAATAAATAATATTCCATAAACAATAATTAAAAAACAAGGTAGTGTGAAAAGTAATGCAATATAATGATTAAGATACTTGATGGGATCCAGACTCTGTTCCCACTCATTATAGACCTTGCTGGATAAATTTGGAAAAGCCTCTCTTGCATATCACTTTCTAAGATAGATAGATTAGATAGAGAGAGAGAGAGAGAGAGAGAGAGAGATAGATAGATAGATAGATAGATAGATAGATACAGACAGACAGACAGACAGACAGACAGACAGACAGGGATAGATATAGATGGATGGATAAATATAGATGGATGGATAAATATAAACAGAGATAAATATATAAGGGGGGGCAGGGAGGGAGGGAGGGAGATTTGGGATATCAGAACGTTATATGCAAGACAGGCTTTCCCAAATTTATCCAGCAAGCTCTATAACTGAGTGGGAACATGAGCCTGGATTCCATCAAGTATCTTAATCGTTATATTGCATTACTTTTTATGCTACCTTGTTTTTAATTATTGTTTATAGTATATTATTTATTAATATAACCTCATATATTTTGATTATCAAAAACTCACTGTCAATTAATAAAGAAGAAAATAGTCTTGCAATGTTACATTTTCCACTCCCAAAATTCACATGTGTTAACAGGCAATATTTCTAAAGAGCACTATGACTGCAGCAGATTAAACGGATAATAAATGTAAAGAGCATCAGGATTGCAACATTTTCACTCCAAACCATTCCTTATATTAAGGAGATATTGTACTGTCTCATCTGTTTCTTCCTCTATTACAGATATGTAACTGCGTTCAAGACTTTTGGTGTTTAAAAAAAAACAAATGAAGTTAAACTGCATATGGAAAAGAAAAATTATAGTTACTCTTTTGATTATTACAATTCTCAAGCTAATCATAATGTATGGAAGAGTGTATCACAAAATGCTTTGTTAGCAATGGACAGCCAGAATATAACTGGATGAATTTGCAGGAATTGTTGGTTTTGAAATTTAAAAAAATTCTTTGTTTTTCTATTGGAAAACTAAATATCCTCTATCATATCATATCAAAAAATCAGAGCAACTAGACATATTACATTTTGAAAACAAATTAACTGAAGAAAGTTAAAACTCTTTACTGTAAATGTACTTTCTGAATTGTTAAAAAAACTCATGAGCAATTAAGAATGGTAATTATTTTGCATTCCAAATGCAGGCCTAATCTGCATTTAACTTACTTTTCAAAATGTAATTGTATAGTATCTTCTGCACAGAATTGGAAGAAGGGATGAAAAAGATGCTAGTTGTTAATAATGGAGACAGGAACCAGTTCTCCAACTGTTCATCTTCTCATTAAGCTCCCCAAAATTGCATACTAATTCATGTAGCAACCATAGGTTGCTTTGTTTTAATTCATTTTGTTGTGTTTTACATGATTTTGTAGATCCATGAGTTCCAAAATAGTTATTATTTATGATGCCGAATTGTATTAAGTATGTTATCCTAGTTTGCTCATCAAACATGTTTAAAATGCAATGATTGCCTAAAATC